CCACCCATCCATCTATCCATCCATCCACTCATTCACTCTTTCACTCCTTCACTCATGCATTCATTCATTCATTCTTTCACTCATTCACTTAGTTCATTCAGTCCGATCAGTTCATTCATGCGTTCATTCATGCGTTCATTCATGCGTTCATTCAGTCTTACAGCCAGATACACACCTCCACCTCCACCTACACCTACGGATACATATACGTATAAATATACAGTAAACATACGTATACATATACATATACACATACATGCACATGTACATATATATATATATACACATACAAATACATATACATACACATATGCATCTGCATATGCATATACATACATACATACATACATACATACATACATACATACATACATACATACATACATACATAACAGCATAGACAGATGGATGGATGGATAGGTGCATGCATCGATCGATCCGTGGATCGACAGATGGACCGATAGATCGATGGATCGCTAGATGCATGCATGCATACCTCAGTTTGAACGCATATGCACATGTGCAGCAGGCGTACACATTTGGCATAGCATCGTGCAGTTAGTCGCGCTAGACAGTGCAGGTTCTGTTTCGGTTGGCAGTGTCCCTTGCCCAAGGATGGGACCGCCACCACATGGCCACCCCATGCGAGACACTCGGATAAAGTCCCGAACAGTCCTGTGCTCTGAACTTATGAGAAGCCTGTTCGCACAATGTCATGCCGGAGCAGCTTTCCATGTAGGCAGAGCCCTTTTTGAGGAGCCTGCGAAATCCAGTTACCAAAGTCATCGATGTGACTCTGCGGAAGCACAGCCGAGCATGGTAACAGCAGCACACGCGGACCTGCACGCAGGTCCGCACCTCCGCCTTATGGCTACGGACCGTCGATGACTCAGCCGTCCCTTTGTCTTTAAAGGTTTCGAGCTTTGCACCCTTTCATGACACCTTGCCTCCTGGCTCTCAGCGATTTCCCATTCCGCAGTTTCGGACTTCCTTTGAGTTGGTTCCGATGGCCCTGATGCCCTTCTTTGGCATATTGGCCTGCAGCCTGGGACTGGAAGCTGCGGGTCATGCGTTCATGACGGTGCCACATTCCAAGAACAACGGCTATCCGGGGAGCTATGCGTTGCCTAAAGGGGAGTACTACACCACTGCATCTTGGTGGCTGGACAGGTCGTACTTCGAGGCTGACCCAAAGAACACGCCGTGGCTAAGGCCCGGGCATTTCTCCTGGAAAGATGCCAGAGACCTCTACCCAGACTTTCAGCAGACTTTCCACCCATGTGGGTGCTACAATCCGCACGGAGTGGAATTTTGCGCGGGTGTGGAGTTGGCTTCTGGGTTTGGTGAAACCACGATGGGCCCCTCAAGTGGTCCCAGCATCACCCCTCAGCAGTGGGTGCTGGGGACATCGCAAGAAACTGCCTTCAACATGTATGCCAACCATGGGGGAGGTTGCTGGGCGTTCGGAAGCCAAAAAGAAGGGTAATTTTCTGAGCTCCCTCTCTGTTTAACAAGTGCTTGGAACCCCCCCGCCCAACCACGAAAGTGAGAAGGATCCCTGGACCTATTCTCCCCCTCCCCTCCCCCCAAGGTTACGTTTACATGCTCTGCAAGCGCAGCTCCTTTCTTCAGTGTCGCCTGGACCACCTCGCAGAGCCCATCCGACTCTCCAGTCGAGAGCAGGTCGGAGTTCATGGCTTCAGCAAGTAGGGTTTAGGGTTTAGGGTTTAGGGTTTATAGGGTTTAGGATCTAGGGTTTCGGGTTTATGGGGTTGATGAGCTTTATGGGGTTTGCAGGGTTTCGGGGTGAAGAGCTTTATGGCTATGTAAGGACTGTAAGTGAATAGTATTGTTAGTTTCGGTTTCGCGGTATATAAGACGATAGTTATGTAATACTTGGGGGCTTCGATGCTGTAGATAAGGGCCCCGTATGCTCTGGAACTACGAGGTGGATGCCTACCTAGAGTGCATCTGGGATTGCTTCGAAGCGAATGTCTTGGAGTTCGCACCCGGGGACTCTCAGTGGCTGGAGTATCAGGCGCAGAGTGGGATGAACGTGAGCATGAAGGTTCAGAGCAAGACCGATGGAACTCTTCCTGAAGGCTCCAGCTGGCGATGGATCCCCATACCAGACACAGCTCAGATCACTGGGGGTGGAGAAGGAACCTGTGCTTGGGATGCCGTTGCGTCATTTAGCAATGACTTGGTCAAGGAGAAGTTTACGGAAGACTTCGGTGGAGAAGGCGCATGCGACACAGGGCCCAAAGTTCACAATCCCAACAACTGGCAGGTGAAGGACCAGGTGCTGGTACCAGCAAGCCTGGCTCCCGGCGAATACCTTCTGAGTTGGCGTTGGGATTGCTACATGGCCGACCAAATCTGGTCCAATTGCGCCGACGTCGAGATCACGGCCGCCACGGCCACGACAGCCCAAACCACCAGCACGACGACACCGCTTAGCACGAGCGAGATTAGTACGACCAGTACGACCACCAGCCAGAGCACCTGCTTTGACAACGAGCTGCCTGTTCAGTGGAGCCAGGCGGGGCGATTTGACTGCGCATACTTTCAGGCAAGGGGGGCAACCTACAGCCGACCCGATGCCTATTGCGAGCATGCTGCTATTCGGGATGCCTGCTGTTTCTGCGGCGGTGGGAGGCCGGCCAATCTTGCCGCGCTATCACGTAAAAAAGCAAGGAGGGCCTTGCGGCACGGCACCCTCGCTCTCCTCCAGAATGCGACTACTGTGCGGCATCAAGCCGGCCAAAGCATCATGCTTGAGCTTTGAATTCGGAGATCCGGGCATCGAGTTTTCCAAAGCGCGCCAAGACTCCTCTGATATTGCAGGATCCTGTGCGAGAGTGGATTGCAGTTGCCTTGCATGGTTCCCACCGGCCTAGTTTTTCTAATTCGCTGCCGGTTTTGTACCAGGTCCTTACACCCAGCCCGGCAAAGAAGATAACTTTGCCGGGATGTGGCCGGGTCCTAACTCCCCTAAAGGAGCCCTTTAAAGGGCTCCTTTAGGATCCTACACGGGTTTTACAGGTTCTGATAAAGGTTCCTTGGAAGGGACTCCCTGACAGCCGCTACAGGGCTTTGGGCACAACTGGCACAGCCCTTTCCAGGTCGGGCGTGGGAGGTAGCTGTGAGGCGAACTTCACTCCTGACTTGGTCCCGGCCGTGCTTTTTACCCGGTGACTTCGAGGAGCTCCTTGGACTTTGAGCCTTTGGGAGCCTCAGTCACCCGAGAGGGAAACGTGCGAGTCGGAGATTGAAAGATGCCTCTGTTCTTCCCGGGTCTGTGATGCGTGAGGCTTGAGGATATACTGCGGTACCGGGTGGAGCAGAATCCGGTAAATCTCGCTTTCCGGGGTCGCCGGAGGCCGCGACCGTATGGCCATCCGCCTCCCATGCACTGCTCTGGCCTGAGCCCGGCACATGAAGCGAATCGGACGAACATAGGGGCGTAGGTTGATCATGTGATGCACCGTGAGATGCTCACTGTGCCGTGGTGACGGCGTCGCAGGACTGGTACTGCTACCCGGGGTTCGAGAGATGGAGATCATGGAGTGGATGTGAAGCGACGTGAGTTTCAGTGATAATGTTGCCAGCGCTTCAGGTCCTGCACCGGGATACCCGCCGCAGCCGCCCCAGCCTGCCCGGGTCCGCTGCAATCTAAAGTTCTTTCCAGCAAGTAAATTACGCACCCGGTGTTTGGAGGACATTGTTGAATGCAACTGATAGCTGCGTTCGCGTATTGCAGGATTTTTCCAGGAGTCTGCTTTGTCTGTCCTTGGCCCAAAACTGCCAACACACCTAACCACTTAGACCCAAAGCACCAAACTCCATCGACCCGATAGACCACGTCCGAAACCCTGAACCCTAAAAACCCTAAACCCTAATACCTAAACCCTAATTAGCCTAAACCCTCTAAACCCTAATTAGCCTAAACCCTAAACCCTAAACCCTGAGCCCTAAGCCCTAAACCCTGAACCCAACACACTCTTTTTTTGAACGCTCGAGCCGCTCCCCCCGCGCAGCTTGAAGCCAAGGCCAGGCTACCCGCCGATGCCGGGGGCCTCAGACCGAGGGATTTCTGTTTGATACTATCCATGAGGGATTTAGGGTTTAGGGTTTCGGGTTTAGGGTTTAAAGCTTAGGGTTTAGGGTTTAGGGTTTATATTGTTGATGATATAAATCCCTGCATTACCTTAAGGGACCCTGAACTATAGGAACTATGGCTTATCCCTTACAATGGGTCATGCAGGGTTTATATCATCAACCGTAGCAAGTGACCCATAACGGGTCCTATAAAGATTTACTATAGAGTGTAAGGGTTCTACAAGGATCAGTACTAATAAAGGTTATAAGTTCTAAGGGTTACAATCAGGCTTACTATGAGGGGCCCCTCAAGGGTTTCTATAAGGGTTCGTCTTATTCGGGTTACTACACTGGTTCTAGAAGGCTTTAGGAAGAAGACGCGTGCGTGTAAGCAAATCTGTGCGAGTGGAATTGAATGCGAAGACATGTAAATGAATATAGCCAACAATAAGCCACCACAAGACAGCCAGCTAAAGAAGCACACGAACAAGCACAAACACAACACATGTGTGTGTGTGAGTGCATGTATAGACGAAGATACATACATACATACGTACATTCACGATCATTCATGCATACATACATGCATACAAGCTCTCAGTGGTCACCTCTTGCATCATACACGTATCAAGCCGAGCTCAATTCAAGCCCGTAGGGTTTGATGGTAGTTGGGGTTTAGGGCTTCGGGTTGAACTGGGGTTCAGGGGTTCAGTGCTCCTGCGTCAGGCATGGCCATCCACCTCATCCAGGCCTCTTATGACGTTCTGAGTGGCTGCTGAATCGGACGCCTGTGAAACCCACAAAAACTCCAAATTGCACTTATAGTACCCCTTTTTGTAGACCTTGTGCTGCCGGTTCCATAGTATTCTATAGGGCCGCAAATGTCTCCCAACAAATTTGGGCTTCAAGTTGAGAGCACAGCTGAGCATGCTGCCACCCTGTGCCAGTGAAAGGCAAGCCTAAAGGACTTCAAGGATTGCACAGGATACTATATCGGGGTACCTGTGGGGGGTTTGCTGTAAGGTATGGGTTAGCCAGGAATCGGAAGGCCTTATCTCGTGTGCTTCCGTCAATTTGCCCGTAGGTCAGTGTACTGATGTACAGTATCCTGACCTCCTGTGTTCTTGCGGCCCATATTATGGTCAGCAGGTGCTTACGGCATGCCTCGACCAGGCCCGCTGAGGGTTCAGGATCTTTTTGGGTACAGTTTGAGTAATTATGTTGCCGTCGGCACAACGCAAGAAAAGAGTCTGGAGGAGAATGCAGGAGTATCAATAGTAACAGGTGTGTTTGCCATGAACACACAGACACACACACACACACATCGTAGCACAAAAGTACACGAAGAGATTTGTGTACCTGTATATGTATACAGTATCATCACTTTCGTAATGTTGAGAAATAGCAACGGTAATGATGGTAAACCTCGCATGCATATAAGCTCGATGCTGCCACAGCCGCAAGAACAACTACTACCACCGCAAATAAGCCAATAAGCCGACGACGACAACAACAACTTCTACTAGTGCTCCTGCTGCTGCTGCTGCTGCTGCTGCTGCTGCTGCTACAACAACAACAACAACTACTACTACTACTACGACGACGACGACGACGACGACTGCTACACCCACTCCTGCTACTGCTACTGCTGCTGCTGCTACCACTGCCCTGGGAATGAGGAGCATAGTAGTTTCAAGTTTCCATCGTCCAGCAACTGACGGTCTCAAGTGCACCTAGTCCTCGGAGAGCTTCACACTTTTTGGGTGTCCTGGTTGTTTCGATCATGTGCTCATGCACATCCACATACACATATCAAATGTATAAGCAATCGCACATGTGCACACATACGCATGCACAGATCCACATGCGAATGCACATGCGCATACATCTAAAAGCACATACACACGCATCCACGCACATGCGCGCACACACACACACACATATACATACGTACATACATGCATACATACGTTATTTAAATGAATAAGTAAATACATAAACACACACACACACACATATATATATATATATATATACACACATACATACGCATACGTACACATGTACGTACGTACATACGAACATTATTCATACGCACATATGTGCATGCAGGCATGCCTAGGTACAGACGTACACGCATGCATGGGCCATGCACACCTGCATACAATCATATACATGTGCATACACATAGCTTTCTAGGGTAGCATCTATGTGTATGTCTGGACGGTGAGCTGCAGTGGAGGTCACCCCATGGCTCGTCCTGAGGCACGGGGCCTGAGGGAATGTGGTAGGAGTGCCCTTGCCGAAAGTGCGACTGCAGGCATAAACCTCAAACCCTGAACCTTAAACCCTAAGCCCTAAGGCCCTAAGACAGAAGTTTCGGCTTTCCGGGGCAGATGTTGAAACCGTTCGCAGATATCCCAGGCAGCTTTCCAGCTATCCGTGCGGTTACCCTTCCATGGCTACGTAGATTCCGGCTGCCTCAGAGACAGACTGCGACCTGTGCCTTCCTACATCTTCCCATCCTGTGTCCTTGCCCATTTCTGCAGCCAGCCCCCAAACCTTCTGCGAAGCCACGTGCAGCCACTCGCGCGCTGATGTGAATTGTCCCACAAACTCGCTCGGTTTCAGGTTATGCATCCGCCTCCAGGCCATCTCGCTGCTGCAGGCGTGAGCGACATGGCCGGATCTTTGGCAGGTGTGTCAGCCTTTGCAAAATCACGAGAGGCAGCAGAGTCAAGACATACCTCTGTGCTTCTCTGTGCTATGCCAGGATTTGGTTGCTCGCTTTTGGTCAGGGCTTACGACAGTTGGGCACACAGGGCCGTTTGTGAGTTCGTGTCATGACAATATGGGCTATGTGATTAACAGCATCGTTACAATTAGGATAACTCCAAACTAAAGGAACGACTGCGAGATGCCTGTTTTGCCACTGCTCTTTCCCTTAAGTTTTCATTCCAGCTACGTACGAAGTCCAGGCCGTGCACGAAGTGTTAGTACTCCCTCGCCCTCGACTCTCAATCCAACCGCTGACCGGCGACCCTTCTGTGCCAGGCGCCCACCAACCTCCGCCAAGGCGGGCCCGCAGATTTCTGACTTTCGGATTTTGGAAATTCGAGTTTGGAGATTTTGGTAGCCTTCGCGTCCAAACACTAGAAGCTTTAATGAAAACGGGGCGTTTAGTATGTATGGTTTTAGTGATGCTAAGGGGATGCTACGACTAATCATTCCGACCCATACATTTATCTTCAGCACGCAAGCCACCAGGAATGGCTCTTCGTGCATTGAACCGCTCACATTCATCCGAAACCACACGGAGCGAAGCGATGCATGAAGAGCTAACTCTGTTGTCAGGCCAGAGGATGGCAGGGAAGAGCGAGAAGGCCCACATGAGTTCAGGGCCAACGTGGAAAGAGAGGTTAAGCCCTTTGACAGATTTGCACGGTGGGCCACATTTTCAGCCGCTTGCAAAGAGATGGCAGCTTGGGCGCTGCGTTGTTCACTCATGTCAGCATAGGTCGATAGCGGCAAGGGAGGTATGTAGGCCCAGACGTTTGCCTGCTGATGCCTGTTTGCGAGTTTTGTTTCAGTGCCTTGCGACCCAGCCTGAGAGGCCTTTACCTTAAAACCATAAGCCCTCAGCGCTTTCCCTGCCCCTTCCAGAACTTCGGCGAGGCTCTAGAGGCAGGAGACGGCGAGATCGAGATCGAGATCGAGATCGCGATCGTCGGCGAGACAAGGCATTTGGCAGGTTGAGCGTTGAGGGTTTGGAGATTTAGGGTGGTGTTGCGGTCTATGATAGTATAGATCAGGCATTTAGGGTTTGGGTTTTCGGGTCTAGAGTTTGGGGGTTTGATGTGTGGCAGTTCTCATGTCAGAGAAAGGTGATCCTTCCACTCCGCAACCTCATAAATGTATTTATTTTATGGCGAATTTTTCACTTATATATATATATATATATATATTGTAGTATAGTACAATCATACATCATGAAGGTGGTTTTTGCACAGCATTGACTTGTTTGTGTTCATCACACTTGTTGTGCGGAGTGCAATTGAAGGAGGTGTTTCAGACTGAACCAATGTGAACTACAGGGATGTATGGTTGATTTACCTTCAGAGCCACATGGTGAGTAGACTTTGGGACAAACAGCCCCTATACCCACCCTAAACCCTAAACCCTAAACCCTAAACCCTAAACCCTAAACCCTCCCTTACAGCCTACTCCCCGACTCCCTTCGCCCAAACCCGTCGAAGCCTTAAGCTCCGCTCCCCCAAACCCCGAACCCCGAGCCCCAAACCCGACTCCAAACCCTGAGCTCGAGGCACAGCTGCATAAGAAGTCTTACAGAATCCTTCTTTCTTGAGGTGCCGCAGATGCCAAAACCCTCGGAGATCTTAAACCTAAACCCCAAAAACCCCAAAAACAAAAGCCCCAAGCCAGAACCCTGAAGCTTTCTTTGGGAGGACGAGCCGAAGGCACCGGAGCCGTCCTACGAGTCGGCTTTTGGTGCGGCAGCGCCGCCGCAGCCGCTGGACAACGACAGACTCCGAAGTAGAAGGGGCTTCTTTTCCTTGGTTTTTGACAAGGGTTCTATAGCATGTCATGTCAAGGTCGTGTAGGGGTTTCAGAAGGTTGGGGACTCTAGGGTTGCGAGTCTAATTAGGAGGTGTTTAGCATGTCGGGTTTAAGAGGTTAGTGTTATAAGCATAAGGGCTTACTTAGAGCTCAGGGTTTTGTACTTCAAGGTTTCGGAGTTGTAGCATCTGGCGTGCAGAGCCTCGGGTTCAAGCGTTCCAGGTTTAAGGGCTTAGGGTTCCGTCGAGTTTGTGGGCTTTTCGGATCCCGGGTCCGGAAGTGTCGGCCCCAAAGCCGAAAGGTACCTGCAGGCTTTAACCCTGGAGTTTGGAGGACAACGTCCCCAGAAGCCGAAAACAACGTAAGCCCTGAGCCCTACATCTGAAAGCTCTGTGTACATCCCGACTAGAATTGGTATGAAATCCTTGCAGAACCCTTCTGTGATCCTGATCGCAAGCATGGACCCCAGAGGTATGGCCACGCATTTGGGGCCCCAGCGCCGGCACCAGCGCCAGCTCCTCCGGCCGGTGCCAGCCGCGATCTCAGGGCTGTGAGAGGTTTAATTAAGGCTTGGGGATTAAAATTTGGGGGTTTGGGCTTCTCAGGGCTTTAAGCTTCGAGGGTTTACGTGAGGGTTCAGGGGGTTTTTAAGGTTTAAGGCTTGATGGTTTGGGCCTCAGAGTGGGGGTCATGGGATTTCAAATTTATGGTTTAGGGCATGGCCGGATATGTGGTAGTGCCAGTGCTACTGCTGCTGCTGATGGTCGTGGTCGTGGTCGTGGTCGTTGTGGCATGATTGTGGTGGAAGTGGCAGTTGTGCTACGGTAGCGCAAGTGGTGGTGTGCTGGTGGGGTAGTGGTTGGTCGGATGGTGGTGGTGGTGGTGGTGGTGGTGGTGGTGGTGGTAGTGGTAGTGGTGGTTGTGGCGGTGGTGGTGGTCGTGGTGGTGGCAGCGGCAGCGGCAGCGGCAGCAGCAGCAGCTCATGGAACAACATGCCGCAGTCTCCGGAGCTCTCGAAAGAGAAATCACCGCATGATCCTACAGTTGCATGACATGCCCGAACCCTGCACCCGAAACCCACAGCCAAGGCCAGGGCCCGTATGTTACGCGTCGTAGCCTGGAGGATGGCTGCAGCCCCGGGGGGAAGTGCTTCTTTGGTCGCAGGTCATAGGTCTCATCAGTCCTATCATTATCTTTCCTCTTCTTCCTCTTCTATTTCTTCTTCATCGTTGTGTTCGCTCCCTTGGGCTTTTGGGACAATGGGAATTTTAAGTTTCTACGTCTGAAGAGAGCGCCGGATCACCTGCAAGTCTTTCGAGTAGGTGAGGTGCGCCGATAGCCTCCCACAGCGAGACCGAGCTTCTCTCGAAGTGTCTTGCTGCCAGAGCAGCTTTAAAGAATTGGGGGCCATGTGGTTCCATCTGGCTGAGATGTCATGGAAGGGTGCTACGTCTCTTTGGCTGAGGTGTGGACGGTCTTCTGCACCAGATCCGTCAAGTCACGGCGCCTTACGTGGGCAACCGCTAGTTTGACACAAGCTAGAGTGCCGTGGCTCTTGGGGAACACGGTTTGTAGGTTGAACCAGGGGCATCATCACCTTCGTGGTCTGCAGGAGGTTGTACAAGTCTCTCTCACATCCCGTGAATTTGCCCAAATTTCGTGGAAGCAATGGCAATGGCAGGCCAGCTCGAGTGGAGGGCATACTTGCCTAGAGATGCTGGATGCCAATGCCTGAGATTGTGCACGTCTTGGTATCTTGCAGGAGAGCGCTTTCAGCATCTGCTCATAAAGTTGCAGAACACTGTCATGTGTATAATATTATATATATATATGTACACACATACAAATGTATCTTCATATTGATATAGAGCACTGTATAGTCAATACAACTGCATAACCGATACCATATAGTTGCGAAGCACCTGTCTTCTGCAATGGACCTCGAATCATACGGGTTCGCAAGCAAGGCAGCTGAATTCCGTTGGCATGTCAGGAGCAGCCTCAGTTGTAGACCCTGTGGAGATCGACTCCATGCTTGAGTCAGACTTTCAAAGCTGCGAGCAGCATGATCGTGCCGTGATTTGGACAGCCGGACTTCTGCGTGATGAGGCTTTCGCAATCTTTCTCACTTCAAACCAAGGCAAGAAACCCTGAACACCTCAAGGGCCAAAGAGGCCACTTTCATCGGAAGCCCTCGCACGCAACCGAGCCTTTCAAGAAGTAGACCCCAAGCCCAAACCGAGCCTGAGAACAGGTCTGCGGTGTCGGTTTGCAGGATGCCGGAGCACGGAGCTTAGCCACCGCCGATATCAGCTTTCTCCGTCGAGCTAAGATGGTATGAAACCCAGATTCTCCCAAAGCCTGAAACCCTGAACCCTCCTCAAAGCCTAAAGCCTCCGAGCTCCGAGCCCCAAGAGCCAAGGCGCAGAAGCTCTTCCAAGAGATGACGCAGCTGAGAGTTGCGGTGAGAAGACTCATGGTGTCTCGACCTTATAGAACCATATGGGTGGTTGTCAAAATTAGGGTCCCTTTTGGGGTACCCTAAATAATAGGTGCCGTATTATAATAAGGACCCAAAAAGGGCCCATAATTTAGAGAACTACCCATATAAAGCCCATGTAACACAGTGCAAAAAAAGCCCGAAAAAGGGCAGTCAGGCAGAACTCTTCCTCGGGGCCAGGAGGGAGGGGATGCCTTGTACCTCAGTGGCAAACCCTGCCTGATGATTGCGACTGCCAGTATTGCGCTTATCGTCGTCGTTGATGGTGCTTTTCTTGGTGAGTCGGCAGGGGTAAGGCTGCAAAACCCTTCTAACCCCTTGCCCCAAACACTTCAGCTGGCCTCCTGATTCTCTGCAGGAGCAGCTTAGTGTTTAGGGCTCAGGTTTGTGGCTTGGGGTCTTGTGGATTTGGGGTTAAGGAAAAACGTAGTTTAGGGTTAAGTTAAGGAGTTTGGGTTTAGAGGTTGTTGTTTTTGTATGTCTGGGCTCAACGGTATGCTAGTAGTCAGTTCAGCGTTTTGTATCAGCGGCCACCTTGCGGCCCCGCCGGAGATGTGCAGAGTTTAGGGTTGGGGTTCAAGAATGGCTTCAAGACAGTTCTTGCCTGGTTTGGCTCGTGACTGCTTTTCACCACTGTTCATTGTTAGTTCTTCTTCTTCTTCTCGGTGACGCCCCTTAACGCTAAGGCCTTAAACCCCTCACCCTGAACCCTAAGCCCTTCGACACCCTAACTAAATCCCAGAACCCAAAACCTTAAGCATTAACCCTTGCCTCAGCCTCCGAGGTCGCAGGGAATGGCCTTGGCGACCAGGCGTGGCTTGGGGTTTAGGGTTTAGGGTTTAGGGTTTAGGGTTATGCTTGGGGTTCCTCTTGCGGGCCTGCTGTTCTGGCGGACACTGCAGGTCTTGCGTAACTATGACGTATCATCGGCTTTAGGCTGTAGGATTTCTGTGATACATGCAGCACTGCAGCGATATATTCCTAGCACGTATGACAGCAGTGCTCTCTTGTGGTTGCTTGCCCTCTTCCTTCGATCTCAGTTTCAAGACTCGCTTTTTTGGGGCTCTATGCAATCGAAACAGCAGGATCCCAAAGACATCCCCCCAAAGCAACATGTCCTCCGTACCCTCGGACTGCCCCCTTCAGGACAGAAGTGATCTTTGCAGTGGACGCTGCCTCTCAGGATCCTTAGTGTGAGGACCCCGAATGAGGTATCGCTAAGGATCCCGTTGCATATCCTGGAGAACAAATATATCCTCATCATCAACAGAGGAGGATCATTATCATAAGGACCCTCAGAAAAGCTGACCTCCTGCTTTTTCTGCAGACGATGACGGCGCTGTCTGCATACCTCTGGCACAGTCCGGGCCTCGCTGAGCACTCGTGAACGAGCACAGGCAAGCTCGGAGTCCCAAACCCCACGTACTGTTTAGGGGTTTAGGGGTTTAGGGGTTTAGGGGTTTAGGGTTTAGGGTTTAGGGTTTAGGGTTTAGGGTTTAGGGTTTAGGCTGAAACCGTCTAAACTCTCAGCACTGTAGGCTCCTAGACCCTTGCAGCTCCAGGCCCTCAGCCCCTGAAGAACCCCACGCCACGGAAATCAAACGCGATGAAGTACATAGCCCCGGCCAAAGGTCCAAGAAAGTCCAAACCCCAAAACGCCCTCGTAAGTAACTCCAAACCCCCTAAAAGCCAAAGTCTACAGAACGCACCCCGTCCAACAAGTTCTGAGTTTGGCAGGAGCGATTAACCCATCATGGCATAGGGCGTTTAAGAATTACGGCTTCGGGTTTATTGCTCCTGGATTCAGCAGAACAGCTGACCCTCGAAGGGTGTGAACGCCCCCTGCTTGAAATCTGACATGATAGTCTTCTTTTCAGCGACCTTGACCCCAAACAGCAATTCCTACTCAACCCCAAAAGCCTTCCACGCCCTGTGCTGAACCTTAAGGAATCGTACCAAGCCCACTAACGACTTGCAAAAGGGGAGCTGAATTTGTTGTATCATACCTCCTGAGTAAAAATACGCACCTGTAAAGCCCTACAAGCCCTGCAAAAGCCTATAAGCCCGTATAAAGCCATACAAAACTTTGTGGAAAACAGAATCACACCGTTTCAAGCCCAGGAGCTGACTAATTCAGGAACCATGCGGGCTTGTCAGGAACCGTGTGTCGGGAAACAGACAGGGGAAAGTCGGGAAGTAACGGGGCAGGTGTCGGGAAGCACCTGCCACAACAGTCGGGAATCATGGGAATAGGGCTTTGTGCTGCTGTCATGTAAATTTGCATGACAGCTTCTTGACCGTCATACACGCCGACCGTCCTTAGGCTGATCGGCTGATCAAAGCGATTCCTCTTGTAGGCTTATTCAGCCATGGGCGCCCCGACGGTGCAGCCAGAGACGAGGCAGCTTAGAACTGGAAATAGCTGTCGTGTCACTGCGGGCCGTGCAGGGTGCCGCATGTCAGTTTGCAGCAGCGGTTTCCGGAAGTCGGTAAAACAGGCAAGCAATGCAGCAAGCAAGCCAGTAAGCAAGCAAGCAAGATGTCCGTGCCCTCAGGTCGACTCCTTCGTCGATACTTCTTTGTCGGCTTCTTCGTCTTAGTCTGCCAGGACACCAGGGCGGTCTGATCGTAGACGCACGCAGGGTAGCAATTCTGTCATCACACTCTGCTTACTGCTTGCTTCTGTATACCGCTGTCCTTGCCTCTCATACTTAGTTGAGGGATGGTCGTCTGGAGATGAGCCGCCTGTTATAATATGCATTCTGTGTGCGATCGGCCGCATGGTGGTGTTTCTCGGCCTTTCCATGGTGCGGGGAATGGTGCAAGCAGTGCCAGTCCTACTGGCGATCGGGGAAGCGCTGGGGACGCATCTGTTTCCTCCGTTGCATCCGACGCGAGCTCGGTATTCCGTGTCTGCCACATGCCCCTACGTACCTGGACTGGCCTTCGCA